GGTAACTAAGAAACTACTAACTGTATACAACTATTTTACAGGTTTTCAAAGTTCACAAGAACAGAGAATGAAACAACTCTAGCCGAAGCAGCAGATGTTTCAGCACCGTCACTGGCAGCAAAAAGGAACTGAGGGTGGGGGGAGCTGGGGGGGCCCCTTACACTGTGCCATGCAGGGGCCACTCCATGGGGCACCAGAGCCGGTCCCCTACGGATACTGCTGAGGGAAAATCTTCCGGCACTGGTGCATGTGGCAAGCACACCCCCCTAATATGGAATGGACATGAGCAAGCACTCGAAGAACAGATATTGGTCTGCAGCATTTTGTCAAAGACCTGGGAATCATTCCCAGATGGTGTTGCCAGTCACTGGCTGTGGTCAGGTTGGAGCATGGGACTAGCCTGAAGGTCAAGAGATGGCACAGTTTTAGTTCAGAAAAATAATTCTTGAGACTAGTTGTTCCCTTGTGCTTGTAACCTGTATGGCTTCTTAATTTAGCTAGTCTGATTTTTTTCTTCCAAAACCAGTTAATGCTAAAGACCAGTTTCCACCTTCCTAAACGCAGACAGGAAGCCAGCAGAGAGGAGGAAGGGAGTAACTGCTGCACTTCAACCACCATTGTATTTACATTTCCGTTCTCTCGACAACAAATACATTTAATTGGGACCAAACATGAACTTGGAAAACAAAGGTTGAGGTTTCTGGAGAGAAAGGGGTGCAAAAGTAGGTTTGGATTCCTTTGCAGTGTTATCAGGTGGGCATTTTGAGAGAATGATTCACTTCCTTGTGGAACTTAAAACTGTAATAGCTAGGGAGTTACTGAATCTCAATGGGCCGCCAAGGTATTGTGTGCTCATAGACACAAGCAGTTTCCCGCTGAAAGGAAAAGGATAAGGGACTGGACATATTATTTTATCCAGTACAATGCTAATTGGTTAAGTCATTTTTCTTAAAATAAAGGACTTCCACCTATACTTTAGGAAGAGAGATGAACCATTCCTTCCCATATTCTATCAGATTATTTGGCACAGTATTTTAAATATGTACTGTATCATGTACCATTCCAGCAAGCAATCTTAGTCCACTGTTAACTTTTTAATTATTTCCAAAAAAAACAAATTTCCACGTTACTTCCACCAACTTAGACTATTAGACAAAGGTTTAAGAAATCCAGGTTAACTGGCACTAATAGTGAAAAGTGTTTACTTCTTGCATTTCCTCCCAGGTTGGGCGATGAAAATAAACTAGTCTATTTCTAATCAAAAGTGTTCTTTATTACTTAAGATATCTGCCATCCCACCATATCACTTGACTACAAGTGCCACTGAGAAACATCAATATTTCACACTTCTAGAGGAAGCACAGAAGATGGCCAAAAGACCAGTGTGCTTTATATGTTTGCAAAGCCATAAAAGGAGCAAGGGAGAAGGTGTTGGCTTTGAACTGGTCATCCTCTCAAATTTTATTGGTTCTCTAAAGTAAGAGTCCAAGACATTATTTAAAGCCCTGTTTTTACTGGGAATGGCAATGGGAAATGATGTACTAAGACAAAACTGACCAGCCTCCAGTATTAAAGGTGCATAATAAGGCACTTCCTCCCCAACCCCCTCTAACCCTACCTGCCGCCTCTGGCTCAGCTGCTCTTCCGAAAGAAGTGAACTTTACACATCCGGCTATTGGCACTACTCTGGAGCCAATGAGCGTGGGTTAGACCTACCAGGATAAAGTGTTTCAGGAAATGCTTTTAACTGCCGAACAAGCTCTTTGGGAAACACCTGCTTGATTTCCATGTCCTGAAAATTTAACAGCAAGTATCAAAAGGGGTGATGGCATGGCAAATATTGCCAACACCCTTTGAGCCAGCCTGCCTCAAGTCTACATTACATTTCTAGGTTGCTTTCTATACAAAGAAAAAGAAGGGGGGAGATTGAAAACCCTCTGATCAGTAAGAGATGCAGGTTAAAGAAAAAAGTGTAAGACATTTTGCCCTGATTGTCAATGAGACAACCAAGAAAAATAGTAATATTCCAGACTGACTCCTGACCAGCAAGAAAAATACCCTGATAGGTACAAAGTTGCTTCAATCATTGCTAATCAGAAGTTCGAATGGGAAAAGCTGCAGTCCAGAGGGAGGTGTCAAGACTTCCACATCCTCTGTTCTGAGTTGCTTATATTCCTAAATCCCTGCTTTAGAAAGGTAAGGCCCCACCTTCCACCACCGCTCTCCCTTTAACAATGTCCAGGGCCAGAAACAGAGAGAGAAGCATGAACTGAATTCAGAAGACATCATGACTTCCCATCTCCCTCCCAAGCATGATAAGCCAATGTATTTGGCAATTAGTCAAAGAGCTTTTAAAGAAGAAAACAGCTTAGGGTGGCTTCCCCTTTGTATTATGGCTCTCTGCCAAATAAATCAACTGGCTGTGTTCACAGTAGATTGATTTAAATCAAAGATTTAAAATCACAGATTTAAATCAGTAAGCAGTAACTCTTGTTTTTTTTAAATAATTGATTTTAATCTCGTTTTGTATTTGTACTATTTAGTTATTTTCCTCAAGAAAGGTTGATTCCCATTGGTAACCATCAAAACAAGTTGATTTGCAACTAAACAGCCTTTACATACTAATTTTGGTACTTCTTTTTGCTAACCAAGAAGATATACAGTATCTATACATGTTTATTTAAGCAGTTATATGAATAAATGTAAGTTAAGCTACAGTCTTAATTTTTACATGTTTTAGTTATGTTAGAAAATGGTGAATTGAGCAGTTCTACTTTACTAGGTTTTTTTTTTTAATTTGTGCCACACTATTTGGATGGAAACTGAAATTCAATTAAAAATACAGAGTTTTTGGTTTGTTTTTTAACTAAATAAAATACCTTAAATGTGCTGGATATATATGAAAAGTTTATCAAAACATGTTTTACATTTAAAACTAACTGATTTAGTTAATAAAAGGAAGTATTATCTGTAGTTAGTGAACTGAAATGATTGTTTCTGGTGACCATGTGTTTCAAGATGTTAAAGAACTAGTAGATCTCATTCTCTCACACCTACTTTTTATTCATAGACTATAAGAGGAAAACAAGTTTTCATGCTTTTTTTTAAACTTCCAATTAGTTTCTTAACTTTCAATTAACTAGTCATTGAAATGAACTAGCTGAATAAACTGAAACAAGGAATATAGTCTTTCTATACATGCAGATGATGCTACTGCTGTCAAAAGCTGGTTTGGCACTTCAACAAACTCTAGTTCCAGGTGCTTAGCCAGTGACTTCCACTAGTGCAGTGGTTTGACTTTTTTAAAAACTTGACAAACATGTGCTGCTTAATTTTTTTTAAAAATTAACTGAAATATTTAATTATAGTACATTTAAGCCTTACTATAGGTTGTCAAAATTTCAAATTTAATTTTAAATAGTTTTATTTTTACAAAATGAACATTTAATTTAAATTAAAAAACCTGATTTTTTTATCCACCTTGGCTGTGATACTCAATATTAGATAAAAGCCAGTTTTAGTGATATATCAGGTTATGAGTGGATGCTGGAAAGCTTTACTTGGTTTGACTGTGAATTTATTAGACAAACCTTTCCAACCTCTACACTAGTAGCTGGTTAAGAGCCTCCAAGAAAGAGGTATTCAAGATAAAGCTTGTGCCACACCTACAGAAGTGGAGACAATTTAAAGATGCAGTTGAGACAACTGAATTTCCCGGGGGAGGGCAGTTTTAACTAGTCATTCCAAGTACAGTGGTTTGCCATTAAAAATCCAACATCTACCATTTAGTACCTCATAGAATTATTTCCTGTTCTAATTCTATATACTAAAGTATCTCAGATATCATTGGGTGTTAACAGTAGGTAGGTATGGACTTTGATGGTGACCTCTTATACTAATTTTGTATGTTTCATGGTTTGTTTGGTATCTGTATCACTATGTGGGTGAAGACAGGAAGAAACACTACATTAGCCAAACACCTCCAAGTCTGAGAAACAGCAGAGGCTTGAAAAAAATGGGTAACATTTTACAATATGAAGGTACTTAGCAATTAAATTAGCCATTGACACATGTATACTCCTACATTACAGCCTATGCCCTTCTCAACACAAATAGGAGTCAATGGTTACAGAATTCTATTTATTCTTAATTATTTGCTAGTATATGCAAAGCACACAGGGTCTCATGAAACAGATATGCTCACCCCCTTAATCATCCCTTGGCTATGTGAGCCAGTGCACCACAATGAAGCAGTCTGGCTATACACCACCTTCAGTTATTCAAGAACAGCGAGTGTGGCATTTGAGCCTAGGGTAGTGACAAGCTCAAGGTTTGTTAATTACTTCATCCAAACATGCTGTCAAGCTAAGTCAGACTCACCTCTTCCCTGCAAAAGAATCGTGTACAACTGGGTCACTCAAACTCTGCATCAGCAGAACAAACAGACGACACAACACGAGACCAGACAGGCTGGGGTAAGGGAGGAAAAAAACTGATAGAAGAAACAGGAAAAGGGAAGAGGTCCAGACTGCCAGACATCACATTCTTTGGGCCACATTTAGATTCTGCTACCTAAAACTGACCAGAGGCAGGTGCCAGAAGCAATAAAGAAGCCTCAAGTCTGAGAATCTGAGCAAAACAAGGAAAACTGAAGATTTTAGGTGGAAGAGGGAAGGATTTCATGTCGTTAAAATGCTTTCAGCGCATATTCATTCTGCAGAGACTTCCATGGGAGGGTCTCACACACAATGCCTAGCATTAGGACTTACAGATTCTGCCAGACTACACTCACCATTTCAGCCCCCATCAGCTGAAGCAGCTGGACCTGCCTGTCCAGCTTTGCTGCTAAACTCCAGCGGGAACCTAAGCAGTCTCCACACACCATATTAGGGCTACGTTTTTCCAGCTGAAGTTTCAGTATGTATGCACCAATGATTCTGCTTCAAAATTTTGTGGATGTCAAATATGCAATATATCTTTAATGAGAGGTGATGCCATACCTTAAAAGCAGATGTTCCTTTTGTGTGTTCTTAATCTCCACAAACGGCTTCTCTGTAAAATAAATGAGTACACAATTAAAAAGGAAGCTAGGGTTATAATCAACTACTTGGATGTCACAGAGACTTTGATCTTTCTCAGGGCTGGCCGGCCCAAATTTTAGTCCATGGCTTTGTACCAACTAATCCACTGGAAATTTTATTAAATTTTAATTTGCTGTTTTCCCATTTCTGTGGCCTGGGATCCTCTCGCTTGCTTTATCCCTCAACGACAACACAAAATAAAGCAGACGTTAGGCTACTAACCCAGCCCTGAACCCTAACTGTAACAGTCTAGGAAGCAAGTTCTACAGTAGCCTCTAATAAAAGGCTAGATAGCACTGTTCAAGTCATTCATAAAAAAGCCAGAAGGAACCATTGAGATCATCTGGTCCAGGGGTTCTCAAACTGGGGGTCAGGACCCCTCAGGGGGTCGCCAGGTTATTACATGGGGGGTCGCGAGCTGTCAACCTCCACCCCAAATCTTGCTTTGCCTCCAGCATTTATAATGGCGTTAAATATATAAAAAAGTGTTTTTAATTTATAAGCGGAGGTCGCACTCAGACTTGCTATGTGAAAGGGGTCACCAGTAAAAAAGTTTGAGAGCCACCGATCTAGTCTGACCTCCTGCATAACACACACCACAGGATTTCACTGAATTAATTCCTGTTTGAACTAGAGCATCTTTGTTAGAAAAACATGCAACGTTGATTTAAAATTGTGTAGTGATGGAGAATCCACCACAATCCTTGGTAAATTATTCCAGTGGTTAATTATCCTCACTGTTAAAAATGTGCACCTCATTTCTAGTCTGAATTTTCTGGCTTCAACTTCCAGCCACTGGATCTTGGTATGGCTTTGTCTGGTAGACTGAAGAGTCCTCTATTATCAAATCCCTTTTCCCCATGTAAGTACTTACAGACTGATCAAATCAGCCCTTAAACTTCTCTTTGTTAACCTAAATAGTTCGAGCTCCCTGAGTATCACTATAAAGCAGGTTTTCCAATTCTTTAATCATTCTCATGGCTTCCCTCTGAACCCTTGCCAATTTATCAACATCCTTCTGGGAAGAATATTTCAGTAGCATCTGCACCAGTGTTATTACAGAGGCCATATAACCTTCTTACACCTACTCAATATTCCGTTTATACATCCAACAATCACATTAACCCTTTTCCCTGCAACACTGCACCATCATCTTATGTTCAGCTGATTATCCACCATAACCCCCAAGTATTTTCAGAGTCACTGCTTCGCAAGGTAGAGTCCCTCTCAGCCAGTATGGATGTCCTGCATTCTTAGTTCCTAGATTTATGACTTCATTTGGCTGCACTGAAACATTGTTTGCTTGTGCCCAAATGATCCAGATAACTCTGTGCCAGAGACCTGTCTTCTTCATTAACCACTTCCCCCTATCTTTGTGTCATCTACAAACTTGGTCACTAATAATTATGTTTTCTACCAGGTCACTGATTAAAATGATTAACAGCAGAATGCCAAGAGTCAATTTCTGCAGGACCCCTCCAGAAACACAGCCGCTCAATGACAATTCCCTGTTTACAGTTACATTTTGAGACTTGTCAGTTAGCCAGTTTTTAATCCATTTAACATGTGCCGTGTTAATTTTGTATCATTCTAGTTTCTTAATCAAAATGTCATACAGAACCAAGTCAAATGCCTTACAGAAGTCTATTACCTCAACACTGTTACCTTTATCAACCAAGCTAGATCTCAGAAGAGATTACATTAGACAAAATCTATTTCCATAAACCCATGTTGATTGGCATTAATTATATTACCCTCCTTTAATTCTTGACCAAGTCCTGTATCAGCTGTTTTATTATTTTGCCAATACATATGCACAAAATATAAATGAAATTGAAAGTGAACAAATTAAAGACAAAACAGCTGCAAGAGACATCACTAAAGGTAAATTGATACTGAAATCTTGTGTCTTCTGGGTCATGCTTCATGTAGAACACAGCATCAGAGTCAGCAACATTTGTTATTTAACATGGCACTCCTGGTGCTTATGACCTATACCAGCCATTCACCAACAACGGTTGCCTTGTGACTATGTGCAGAATAAAACTGATCCAGAGCAATGAAGGATCAGAACATAAGCTGGCAGAAATCAAGTTAGTACAAAGGCACACAAGCAGCATCACTGGCACAACCATAAGAGAACTGAGTGGTGACGTACTCAGGGAGAAGCATCAAGAAAAGTATCACCCTCATGGCTTGTGCACACTACTAGCCAGTACATGTAGAATATTAACATTCATTCTTCAGAAGGAAGGAGTCCTGAAAGACAGGCACCTGGAACTTGAAGAAAGAACAGAGGACTCACAGCAATGTAGTAGCTGACAGGAACCCTCACACACTCACAAAATAGTGTCACAATTTTATCATGATTCGCAGAAAAAATTCTTAGAATCGTAGATCCTGGAATAGTGCCAGTAAGTTAGAGTCTCCACTTTCATTTGAAAAAACAGTATATTTCTAGCCCTCATGATTGCAGAGAAGAGCTTGAATATGTGATCCAAATGTATTCTAAGATTCAAAAGTCAGCATGTACATTAAAAAAAACAAACCAAAATTATGTTTTAAAGTTCCATGATTTTGGGGAACCTGATTATTTTTGAGTACTTGGGGCTGGCAATATTACAGTTATGAACTGATAAATTAGATTGACTAAATCACTGGATTATATCTTGGCCCCATTAAAGTCAATAGGAGCTTTGCCACTGACTTCAATGGAACCAGAATTTCACCCATTTTCTTTGAAAAAGATACATTTGCAGTAATTTCTTGCTGTGAAAATTGCACTGAATGATAGTCTTCAATATACTTCAAATCATCCATCATATTCTGTTCCTTTGCTCTCAGCTGCCCCAAAAGCCCAAATTCTTCCACTGGGGGGAAAAAAGCATTAAAGCTATTTTGTTCTAGGCCAGAGGCTCCCAAACTGTGGCTGATAACTAGGGGTCCAGAGAGAGCTGTCTAGCCAAATGGTGCTGGCTCTCCTTGTTTCCAGCTTAAGCAAACATAAATAGATGTAAAGAAAGAAGATATAGAACAAAAGGAAACAGAGTGTGATCAACACTTAGAAAAGAATGCCTCCCTTAACACATTAAAGAGAGCTAAAAACACTACCTAAGAATGGCCATACTAGGTCAGACCAAAGGTCCATCTGGCCCAGTATCCTGTCTTCCAACAGAGGCCAATGCCAGGTGCCCCAGAGAGAATGAACAGAATAGGTAATCATCAAGTGATCCATCCCCTGTCGCACATTCCCAGCTTCTGGCAAACAGAGGCTAGGGACACCATCCCTGCCCATCTCGGCTAATAGCCATTTATGGACCTATCCTCCATGAATTTATCTAGTTCTTTTTTGAACCCTGTTATAGTCTTGGCCTTCACAACATCCTCTGGCAAGGAGTTCCACAGGCTGACTGTGCGATGTGTGGGGGGGAAAAAAACTTCCTTTTGTTTGTTTTAAACCTGCTGCCTATTAATTTCATTTGTTGGACCCTAGTTCTTGTTTACTCCTTCACATAACTTGCTTATTTACTTTCTCCATACCAGTCATGATTTTATAGACCTCTATCATATCCCCCCAGTCGTCTCTTTTCCAAGCGGAAAAGTCCCAGTCTTATTAATCTCTCCTCAAACAGAAGCCATTCCATACCCCTAATCATTTCTGTTGCCCTTTTCTGAACCTTTTCCAAGTCCAATACATCTTTTTTGAGATGGGGCGATCACAAATGCACTCAGTATTCAAGATGCGGGTGTACCATGGATTTATATAGAGACAATATGATATTTTCTGTCCAAGTCCTTTCCCAGCATTATTTTTCTATGTAAATAATTTCTCAAGTTGCCACAGATATGTAGGACCATTAATGAGAAGGGAAGTGTCCATGTGACAATCTACACCATGAAAATTTTGGGGATGTTTTAGGCAGTTTGATCACTACTCTGCATTATTTCATACCTCTGCACAGCATTTTTTCCACATGCTCACATGCAGGGCTCAAAGTCCTGTAAGCAGGGCCGGCTCTGGCTTTTTTGCCGCCCCAGGCAAAAAA